CAGTTTTCACTTGCCAGTTCCTCAGTGGCTTCAGAGTCAGGAACTCCACTCCTCAGTGCCCTTCCACGTGCATCATTCCCACAACAGGTTCGTTCGGCTTAGAATAGGAGAGCCTTAGAGGTCGCCCAGGCCAACCTCATGTCATGGATGGATATCGAGGCTCCAAGAAAGAATGTGACTTGATTAAGGTTATTTACAACATTAGAGCCGTTCAGGGCCCAGAGCCTGGGTCTCCTGACCCCCCAACCATGTTCCTTCCTCCACACCACCCTGGGTCCATCACACGGAAGTATTCATTCCCCACACCCCGTTTGTTCCCATATCTGCAGGAGACATCAAGGGATGCCCCCTCGCTTGTACCCTAAGGCATTCGTTGCATTGTATGGAACAATTTAATCTCTCACTTATATCCCCCGGAGGCTAATAGCTAGGTGCCCTTCTTGGGAAAATTGGTTAGAAGAGTAACTCAGTTTCCTGCGGGGTTTAATTCTCTTGCAAAGCCCCCCGACTGAGAAAAGCTGCTGGAGGTTCGCCTCTCCCAATGTCCCCAGGCCAAGGAGCCCTTCATAAGACCAGCTGAAGTCTCTCCCGGTTTCATTTAAACCATCTCCCCTTGTTCGGTGCCCCTGAGACGTGGAGAATTTATTAGCATGTCTCTCATGAAACGCTAGCACAGCAGGAAATTAAATTCATCTGGTATAATCAGCTGTTCTGAAAGCTTTGCTGGTGGCCCTGCTTCTTTGTGGTTGCCAAGGTGACTGCAAATTGATTATTTGAGCACTTGTTCTATGATCATACCAGGTACTGATGTTAAGTTTAGACATCGACTGACCCAAGTATAAATTGATCTCCCGTGACTGTAAAACAGTCTCCAAACCCAAGGAAACAAGGGATATTTAAGCAGAAGGGAAGGCTCAGGAGAACTCCAAGGGATTCTCCGGAAAGCTTGAGGACAGTCTTGGGGAAGAGACCGGAAACTTGTTTTGAGTGGCCTCAAGGGGGCAGACTTAAAACCGACGGTCAGGAGCTATAAGAAGGTGGACTTCAGGTCACTCTCTGGACAGTCAGAAACATACAATGGCAGAAGGACCCGGGAGCTTGCCCCCGGTAGAGCTGTCTGAGAGTTTTGGGGGAATCCATTGTGTAAGGGGCTGACCGGACAATGAGATGCTTCATTCAAAAATAGTGAACATTCCACCCAACGTATTATATAACTCAGTGGTAATGGTAATTTTTCAGAGTCATGTTTCTTTCTAAGACACCCAGCTTTGTCCGGGGTTTTCATTCTTTTTCACAGAAATTCAAATTAAAAACAAATTACTGACTATTCACATTCAAAGTGTCCTTTCACATGTAGGACCTGATAAGATCCATGTACTCTATACTTACATTCTGATTTGAAAATAAGAGAAAGGTAAGAGTTACCTCTTTTGCAAGGGAGCACACTGAAAACACTTTATGGGCACTTAATCTCATCTAATGTAAAGGTAATGGGATGAAGACATACAGAGATAATATTAAAGAGACATTTAAGACCATTATTTCGAAAGAAATCTATAGATGTTTCTCTGTTCAGATGATCGTAAAGATGGAGGGAAGTTCACCCAAGCCAAGAATGGGATAAGATTTTCCTAAGCTGTACAGCTAATGGTGTGAGGACATTCCCTGGCACCACGGAGCCTTCAAACATTTGTTCAGCAAATCAAAATGTGTGTGTGTGTGTGTGTGTGTGTGTGTGTTTCCTGTTTGGCAGGCAGGAAACGACAAATCGGTGGTTTAAGGGATTGACAAAATATGTAATTAGACACTATCAATCATAAAGGTGACTGATTTTTCTTAGATCAGATAAAGGTGCAGTTAGTCTAAGAACTTCCCAGTTCCGCTGAAGCATTAATTCTCTAAGGCCACAAGCCCAGCAAGCAGGGCCAGTCGAAGTCCTCTCCCGGGAAATGAAAGGACAGCATGGGACGGTGAAACTCTGGAAGGCCAGAGGCAGGCCTGAACCCTTTATCTCGCTTGCCACCTTCGACTAGATCCTTCTTACTTCTGCACTTCAGTTTCCTCATTTGCAAACTGGAGGGGGTGGGGAGAAATGAGCTCAATGATCTAGTAAATTCTGTCCCACTCTCTCTCAACTCCCGTAACTCAAAAAGGAGGTCAAGAGAAGACTCTTGGTGTGAAGACAGCATCTTGAAATTCCTAGCGGCTTGGTGATGAAGCAGAGAGGAGAGAGAGAGGGAGGAAGGGAGAGAGGGAGGGAGAGAGAAAAAAAGCACGAGAAGGGGTTGGTGGAGAAGAGGAGAGATTGTCACTTTGGGAAAGCTGATGGGTAGGAGCCTGGAACCTCCTCGTTGACATAAGCCATCTTCCCTTCTTGATTTAGTGTTTGTGGGTTTTTTAAAAGGTGTTTCCCAAAATATTCAAAGTTGGGCTTTTCAATGACTCATGTGTATATCTAAATGATCAATTAGTGTTTGTCCTAAAAGGGCTTTCTTTGTTCTTTTTGTTGTTGTCGTTATGGGAAGGTTAAACAATATGCTTATTTATTCCATAGCTTGGCAAACAGGAAGGAGGTTTTAAATGGCTTAGTTCCACATTTGGGCTAGATGTATATTTAAAGAAACTGTGTTGCATAACACACACTGCCTCTTCCTAAAATGCACCATACCAAAGCCAATTTTGGAAAACACAAATATGGGGTGGGTATATTTTGAAAACTATGGGAACATAATAGATCTTTAATTAATATTTGTGCCTTTTATGGGAAATATTTGGTTTTTAAGGCATCTGTTCTGTGAAAACCATCTCTGGCTGGTAAAGGGAGTTAAAGGGAGCAAGCAGGTTACATTTTTTGTTTTGTTCTGTTTTTCTGAGCTTTACTTCTACTGTAAACACCCGAGTTACTTCTGTCTTAAAGTATTTGATTGTTCTGTTAGAGAAGACTAACAACGCATTCTAAATTACCAAGTGATTTGTATACATTTTCATTTATGACCCATGTTTGTGTGGCATATATATGTGCAAAAACACTTTCACATTTATTATTATATATTCCATTTCACTCCGCCCAGTGGAAGTGACTTTATTCTCCACTTAGAGATGGAAGAAATTAGGCTCCATTTTTTTGACTTGCCTAAGGAAGGTGAGCTAGAAAGTGCTACGACAGAGGATCTGGAAACTTAGTATTCCAATTCCGGTTATAGTCTCTTGTCTAGCCTCCTTTCGGCTCTGCATGTGATGATAGAACCCCTCAAAATGATTAAAAGATGAGTTTTAGAGTCAAGAAGACCTGGGTTCACCTCCTGCCTCTGGCACTGCCTGGCCCTGTGCCCCTAGGCAAGCTATTTTCCTCTTGGAGCCCCATTTGTGAATTAAGCTAAAAATAGTACTCCCCCTACCATGGGACTGTGGGAAGGATTAAATGGAATAATGCATGAAAAGCACACAGCAGAATGTTCCCTAAATGTTAGCCATTGTTATGTTATTATGTAATCTACAAAGTATGTTTGGTTACACTGCATGAAATGCTTTCAGTCTTTCAAAGAAGCTACTAAGACTTGTGAAATCAAACCCTGAAAATTAATTTCTTTTTAACAGTAAAGTCATACGCCAGATGCAAAGGATAATATTTCCTGGACAAAGACCCTAGTCTGAAGGCTTGGTCCAACCCTTTTTTTTTTTTTTAAAGGAGAAATTATCTTCTTTCCCATGGTTTCAAAACTTTCTTAATGTTAACACATTCTAATAGTCTGAGCCATATGAAATAACCACTTTTAAAGTCAGAAACCACAGAAGAGCGGCAATTTCATAGGGCTCCACCCAACAGATCAACAAACTTGCCAGGAAGATGTAAGGATATTTCTAGTGGCAGTGGGCTTGCTAAAGAAGATGAGGTTGAAAGGAAAATTTTTCCATATTCAACTCATCTTCATTCCCACAGATAACAAGGAAGTGATGCCACACTCCCAAGAATTACAAATATAAGCGCACAACCTTCTCTCTGTCCCCAAACGCATACATGCGTGTCCCCCCGCCCCCCCCCCCCCGCTCCAGCTCAGAATGAAATCCAAGGAGTGAAATTGTGTCTCAATGCCTGAAAATTCCCAAGGAGGGCACCAAAAGTACTTGACAGTGAGTGTGCTGAGGAAATCGGGCAGCTGTTGAAGTCACCTCCTGTGGTCCTGCCAAATGTTTGAAAGGGAATGTGCCCTGTGTGCGTGTGTGCGTGTGTGCGCGCGCGCGTCTATGTTGGCGGGTGTTGTTGCGGGGGGCGGGGGGGGGGAGCGGGGAGAAGTTGGGGGTCGTATGCAAGTGTGAGGGGATTTGGAGTACCTGGACGGGGACGTTGGAGTCTGTGGCGCTCTGTGACTCCAAGCCAGCGATTGGGTGTTGTTTACTTCTTTCTGTGTGCGTGCACATGCCTCTGTGCTTCTGGGTGCTTCTGTGTTTGTGTCTTGGCCCCGTTTCTGTTGGACAGGGGTGACTTTGTGCCTGTGGGCTTCTGTGTGTGTGTGCGCGCGCGCGCGAGTGTGCTTGTGGGTGCGCTGGGCGGGTGTGTCTCCGTGTCGGTGGCTGTGGTTCTGTATAAGTCTGAGCATGTCTGTCGGGGTGCAAGTGTGCCTGCCCGTGCGTGTCTGGGTGGGCACTGTCGTCTCTGTTTCCGAATGTTGGGAAGCGGGCGCCCAGGCGCCCGGGCCAGACAGGTAGCAGCCCCCAGAAGAGCCCAAGGCTCCCGGGTCGGCGGGTGAGCAAGCCAGCCCCAGCTGCAGGCCTCCGGGGCCAGCCGGGGAGCCGGCAGGGAGAGGTGGCCGGTCCGCCGCCCAGGAGCAGCTGGGCCCCGCCCGCGCCATCCCCAGGAGGGGGCGGGAGAGGGGAGGGGAGGGCGGGAAGGGGAAGGGACCTCGCCCCTTTGGGGCTGCCCGCCCGCCATTGGCGGAAAGTTGCCGCACGTCACGGGGAGGGCAGGTCCCTAAAGTCCTGTGCACATAACGGGCAGCGCGCACTCCCGGGAGGCTTCTCCAGAGCGCCGGCTGGGTCCAACGCGCACGGGGAGCCCGGAGCACCCCGCAAGCTGAGTGCAGGACGCATCCCCAGCACAGCCACCCCCCGGCCGCTGAATGAGGCTTCCCGGCGTCCGCTCGCTGCCCGCAGCGCCGCGCCGGAGGTCCGCCCGCTGAGGCGCGGCCGGTGCGCCGGCAGCCTGTGCGCTCACCTGCCAGCCTGCGCGCCATGGGGCAGCCCGGGAACCGCAGCGTCTTCTTGCTGGCGCCCAACGGCAGCAACGCGCCGGACCAAGATGGCCCGGAGGAACGTAACGAGGCGTGGGTGGTGGGCATGGGCATCGTCATGTCGCTCATCGTCCTGGCCATCGTGTTTGGAAACGTGCTGGTCATCACAGCCATCGCCAAGTTCGAGCGTCTGCAGACGGTCACCAACTACTTCATCACCTCCCTGGCCTGTGCTGACCTTGTCATGGGCCTGGCGGTGGTGCCCTTTGGGGCCAGCCACATCCTCATGAAAATGTGGACCTTTGGCAACTTCTGGTGTGAGTTTTGGACTTCCATTGACGTGCTGTGCGTCACGGCCAGCATCGAGACCCTGTGCGTGATCGCAGTGGATCGCTACTTTGCTATCACATCACCCTTCAAGTACCAGAGCCTGCTGACCAAGAATAAGGCCCGGGTGGTCATCTTGATGGTGTGGATCGTGTCGGGCCTTACCTCCTTCTTACCCATCCAGATGCACTGGTACCGGGCCACCCACCAGGAAGCCATCAACTGCTATGCCAAGGAGACATGCTGTGACTTCTTCACGAACCAAGCTTATGCCATTGCCTCCTCCATCGTGTCCTTCTACTTACCCCTGGTGGTCATGGTCTTCGTCTACTCCAGGGTCTTCCAGGTGGCCCAAAGGCAGCTCCAAAAGATCGACAGATCTGAGGGCCGCTTCCATGCCCAAAACCTCAGCCAAGTGGAGCAGGATGGGCGGAGTGGGCACGGACACCGCAGGGCCTCCAAGTTCTGCCTGAAGGAACACAAAGCCCTCAAAACTCTGGGCATCATCATGGGCACTTTCACCCTGTGCTGGCTGCCCTTCTTCATTGTCAACATAGTGCACGTGATCCAGGATAACCTCATCCCCAAGGAAGTTTACATCCTCCTAAACTGGGTGGGCTATGTCAACTCTGCTTTCAATCCCCTTATCTACTGCCGGAGCCCTGACTTCAGGATTGCCTTCCAGGAGCTTCTGTGCCTGCGCAGGTCTTCACTGAAGGCCTATGGGAACGGCTACTCCAACAACAGTAACAGCAGGACCGACTACGCTGGGGAGCACAGTGGATGTCACCTGGGGCAGGAGAAAGACAGCGAACTGCTGTGTGAGGACCCCCCAGGCACGGAAGGCCTTGCGAACCGTCAAGGTACTGTGCGTAACGATAGCATTGATTCACAAGGGAGGAATTGTAGTACAAACGACTCACTGCTCTAAGGCAGTTTTTCAACTTTTTATGAAACCCCCTCCCCCAGCACAACACTACACAGACTATTTAACTTGAGTGTAATACATTTAGAATAAAATTGTATAGAGATGTGCAGAAGGGCAGCCTTCTGCCTTTTTTTTTATTTTTTTAAGCTGTAAAAAAAGAGAAAGCATATTCGAGTGATTGTTTCTTGTACAGTTGAGTTCCTTTTTTTGCATGGAACGTGTCTGTTTATATCTGAAGGGCTTCAGTCCCAGAGGACCTGGGGCTGCTCTGTTTTGATGACTTTTCCGTGGATCTACCTCATTGGTCAAGTATTGGGGGTAATATATATACATATATATTGCTGCTGGTAATTTGTATGTGAAGGAGTCTTTCCTTCCCGTACCCTTGCACTGGAAGATCTTGAGTATCTCGGACCTTTCAGCTGTGAACACGGACTCTCCCCGCTCCTCTTATTTGCTCAAACAGGGTGTTGTAGGCAGGGACTTGAGGGGCAGTTTCAGTTGTGTTCCTGAGCAAAGTCTAAAGTTTACAGTAAATAAATTGTTTGACCATGACTTCATTGCACCTGTTTCTCCCAAAACCCCTTGAGTGGAGTGTGGTCGCCTCCCCCGCTGGAAACCGCAGGTAACTATTTGTAATAACTGCCCAGGGACTTAATACAAAATGATACAGGAGTGGTGTGCACTGATTGCTTAACCCTTTCCTTTGCCTTTGAATCTGCTGTTGCAAACCTGTATCTCTCTTAATGCCAGTGCCTTGGGGCAGTTCCGCCCGCCGTCAGCATAGCTTGTCTCGCTGGTCCCATGGTGAGGATTCCTTGTTACAGCCGAAACACTGACTCACAGAAACGGAGTTACGGGCCTCTGTTTTGTCCCTCCGTGCGCCCCTGCCACCACCCACCTGCAAGTCCTACTTGTTCACTAGCTGCTCATGTTATGATACATTGGCTGCCTCTTATAGTGGAAATCTTTGTACTGCGTCAGAGTTTGGCATTTTAAAGAGAAGGAAGACGGTTTTATTATCAAGGTCCTCAAACAAAGCCCTTTACCTCCAAGGAAACCTGGAAAGGGCACTGGTCATAGGGACAGAGCTGGAAATCACCCACCCGATGAATACCTCATGACCTTGGAGTGGGATCGCAGCCCCTCCTCCTTCTTTCCTTCTGTCGCCCCCCCACCCCCACCCCCCGCCCCTGTTCTTCTGACCCCCCTCACTTGGGTATAGAGCCCGACTTCTCAGCTCTGGCACTGTTACCACGGCGGGCCAGGTGACTCTCCGTAGCGGGGGGCTGTCCTGTGTGTGGTCAGAGCTGCGGCGGCATCCCTGTTCTCTCCCCATCAGATGCCGACTGCACCCTCCAAAAAATGCCAAAGACTCGAGGGGTGAAATCTCCCCCGGCTGAGAATCACAGAGAGAAGCTTCAAAAATCTAGACAGATTGGTAGATTCTGTCTAATGCAACTGCTTGATTTAGGCAGAGCATCCAAGAGGGACTTTCCACCGTCTGCCCAGTTAGTGGCAGCCCCCAGGCCACCCCCCCATCCATGCTGTCTTCCGAATTCACCTTCTAGCCACCCCGACACTGACTGTGTTTGGGGGAACGTGCAGTGTTTGGGAGGGCTTATCCGTGGAGGCGAGGCCTGTGAGTCTACTGCCTTTTTGTGCAGAGGTTCTATTACCGTGAAGAGGCACAGGAGGGAAAAAGCACAAAAGTAAACACATCGCTTCTCCCACCCCCTTCCTATTTTTGCCCGTGGGTCTGAGCCAGAGTTTGGCCCAGTTTTGACCAAATGGACCGTCCTCCTTGGCAACTGGCAGCCTGTAGAGGATCAGCCCTCAGGTTCACTGCCATTTCATCCGCTCCTGAAGCGACTCCACTTCTCTCTTCCCTTCTGTCCCAGCCAAGGTCCCCAGCCAGAAAAGCACTGGCTTCCTCAGCTTCCTGTCAGCTCAGTGATGGGTGTCCGGGTGCAGGCTCAGCTCTCGGGGGAAAACTAGGTGCCCAAGTTCCTGGAACGTGCCGTGGTGAATGGGAGAGTGGGTGCCCTTCAGCACTTTTACTTGTTCTCCAAGGGCTTCCCTGCCCATTCTTACATTCTCCACCTGCTCTGGACCCACCACCCAGGGGTGTGGGCCGCTTCTCCAGCTAATCTTCACCCTCCTGGTAGCCTCACAGGATCTTGGACTTGCAAGAGCCCGTAGAAAGCACTGGGCATCCGAGGAGATGAAAAGTCTATGAAGGGGAATGACCTGCCAGAGGTAAGAAGCCAGGGATGTAAGAGACAGGGTAATAGCCGGAGAAGCCAGCTGTCAGCTGTTATTCCAGAAACTACTGTGTTCTCTCCACTGTCTGGTCATTGACTTCTGTCCTCACCCTCAATTGTGGAAGCTTTACCCTCAGGCTGTCACGTAACAGACTCAGTGGGTGTTTTTTTTTTTGCTGTCAGGTCCTTAGCACAAAATTCAGGCGATGACCAAATAATGTGCAACAGGGGCAAGAGAAAGAATTGTTCTTTTACTCTGCACAGTGTACTAGGATACCCTCAGCCTTCAGGGGGAAGCTACAAGATTCCTTAGCCCACCAGGAATTTCAAGCCACTCCAGGTAGAAATTTTAAGTAGAAAAAAATGTTGTAAACTTTTCTGTCACCTTTGTAAGTCCCATGGACAATAAACATTATTTAAAAAAAAAGTTGTATATATATATTTTTTTGCTTAGAGAAGCCTCTAATGTAATTTCAGTTAAAATTCAGGTACAAGGGAGTTTAACCATATTCATGTTCCTTTAGGAATCCTTTTAATATAAAAACTCTGATCAATTTTAAGGGTCTTGACAAATGGATGTTTCAGGAAGGTCTCAATCCCTTGCTTTCTGTCCTCTTTTGTTTTGCAAGGGGGAGGGGAAGTAGGCAGGCATTTGTCCGTGTCCCTCTGTCCCTCCATTTGCTGACAGATTGGTTACATAAGGTTTGTGTTGGATTCATCGTCATAAAGTTTTCTTTGCCTGGACAGCAAGTTCTCAGAGTCTGTCAAATGAGAACCTTATCCTGAGATGCAAGCTGACAGGTGTGCAAAGTGGCAGGCTAGGGTGGGCCTCTTTACCGAGGTCACTCTCAGGGAAAGGAATCTGGGGAAAAGGGACCTTTGAAGTAGAACCTGTGGTCACGTGATACTCAGCATATTTTTGGTGAAACTACTACCAAGAGAAGCCCAGGCTAGAATCAGTCACGAGCATTTCTGGAGCACCTACTGTGTGCCATGTGAGAAGAGTATGGGCTTCAGTCTCTACCTTCTGTAGCATAAGATGAATAATACTAAACAGATCCCTTTTATGGAATCTTCCTGAATGATCAGGACAGCGCTAGACACCTTTTTAGCCATGACATCATTTGGACAGCCTTACGATGTAGGCAACGTAATTGTCCTCTCCTACCAAATGAGACAACAGAGGGTTAGAAAGATTAAGTCACTTTCCAAAGCTGCACAAAGTGGCAAGCTGCAGGGTCAGGACTGGAACCCGGGTCCCCTTGAGCCCAAACCCATGCAGACCAGGAAGCAGCCCAAGGCAGCTCATCATCCGTGCCAGACCGAGTGTAAGAACTGGAAACGCAATACCTCTCAGAGAGAAGAGGGAGGTTGCTGTGGGCTGGGGCAGGAAGGAATGTGCCCTTCGAAGCATGTGACTGCAGGACTGCCGGGGACTGGGACAGGAAAACTATCACCCAAGTGCCTACTTTGTTTCTCTGAGCCTTTGCTTTGTCTTTTCACTGAGAATCTGGCAACACTGAAAAGAGGATCTGAAACTTTAAAAGGAGCCCGGGGTAGAGCAGAATCACAGCCCACCTCACATCCAGGCGCATTCCTTTTTGGTTCCGAAGTTGGGAAGTTCCCAAAAATGGAGTGGGCCGGTGGGACCTGATGGGAAACGTGGCAGGCCGAGGCGGCCCTCTAAGGTGTGCTGTCCATTTGGAGGAGAGGGTCTTCTGACCGCGGAGAGCAAAGACCGTGAATGCATTTGGAACGAGGCTTTTCACGGACAGTATCATGTCCACGAAATTCCGTCCTGCGCTAATCCCTCCTTCAGTGACAGTGCAAATATAATTTGAAGGAGGAATTTTTGAAATACCTAAGAAAACAAACTTCCCAAGCACTCTCAAGGGCTTGAGAAATACTGGTATCTTATGAATAACAGGAGGCAGAGTGAGGTACAAAGAGGCTTGCTCTGGGATTCAGATAACTAGGTTTCAGGTCTCCTCTTGGGCTCTCTTTCTCTCCCTCTCTCTCTCTCTCTCTCTCTCTCATGTTGGGTCATGCAGTTTTCCTCAGCGGACCTCAGTTTACTCCTCCGTAAAATCATGAGGCCCATGCAGGTGGTCTCTAAGCTCTCTTCAGGTATGAATTTATATAGCTAGGAAGCGCCAGTAGACCATAATTCTAATTAGAATTGATGACATTTGTCCTATAATGATTAATAATGATCAAGTATCCTGAGGGTGGTCAGCTGGCAGAGGAGGATGTTCTGAAGACCTATTTGATACATGGTACCTGCCTTCAAATATTTAAGGATCATCTGGGGGAAAAGGAGCACATCGATTTTATATGACCACCAGAAGGCACGCAGAAACTTAGAGGAAGGTAGATTCCCAGCCCAGGGAAAAAATAGACTTTACGTTTGAAATAGATTATCTATCAGAAGAGTGAGCCTCCTGTCGTTGGAAGCATTCAAGAGAAACCCAAATAAAGCTCTGTACAGGATGAAGCATAAAAGTTTCCTGCACCGAGCAAGAGCTGGACTAAGATCCTTCCAAATCTGGGCCTCTGTGTCCTTGAAAACAATAGACCTGAATGTTCTTAAAAAGTACTCAGACCGTTCCCTAATTCCAGCTGGCCTTCTCCCCAATTCCTCTGGATTTCAGAGGTTTCACTGCATTCCTAAACAGGAAACCTCCGGGGGAAATCAGGATCTCAACAGTCCTTGGCCATGGGGGGAAATCCAGAAATAGAGAAATAAGGTTAAGCAGTTTTCCAAACTATTAGACCTTTTCATCAGCTGCTCTTCCCATGCCTTTTGCAAATGACCTACTAACTCCCAGAGAGAGAATAATGAGAGCTGCAAAAGCCTCTCTGCAAAGGCTATTACATACTTCTCCACCCTCAGAATCAGTGCACTTCCTGTGGTTTTTCCGTCACCCTCACGGGCGGGAAGGAAGGGAGGCAGGTCCCTGGAAAGCACGGAACACTTCAAAGCCCTCTGGTTGGTGACCTGGGGTCTCTCACAGCCCAGCCACTAACCTGCTGGGCCACTGCGGGCAGGTCACTTTCCTTCTCTAGACCTGGTTTCATCATCTCAAATGAGAGATAGTTTGGTATCCATGAGTCTTGTGTTTCCTTTTTCCAGAATTCTGTAAGATTTCAGGAAGCGTCTGATGCTGCACATTTGGCTGCAATGTTTTTATTTTAAAATCACATTTTCTCATTAAAAAGGTAATAGATACTCTTTGCAGAACACTTAAAAATGGAGGAAAGCACCGCATGAGATAAATCACACATAACATT